GTCTCCTGTGCCGCCGCGGCGGCGCGGCCGTTTCCGTTGTGAGGCGCCAATGCGAGTCTACGCAGCAAGATAGGCTAGAGTTCAAGATTTGCTCGATCGATTGTTTGCTCATCTTGGGGGTTCAATTGACTGTTCGGAATAGCGTTCAAGACTTTTCCGGTTGTATAGTGATATCATCAGGATTATCTATGGCGGATTTTCATGACGGAGATTACGAGCCGACGAGTTTAAGAAACCGTCAGAAGGTGGTCAGTGCCAAAGCCCAACAACAAATAATTTTTCTCATGGAATTGATCGCATCGCGACAAACCGCCGCAATTCCTGATGGTGGATTTGCCGCTGCCTTCAACCTACGAATTCTCACCCGGGCCATGAGCTCGGGATTCCCGTTTGAGTCCACAATAAGGAGCGCGGCCGAAGGCCGCGTTCCCCAGGGCTGGTATATAAATAAAATCAAATATATAAGATATTTTTCAAAAAAATTATATATTAAAATAATATAATAATATAAAAAATAAAATGAAAATAATCAAATGAATAAATTTCCCGTAAATAAAAGCGTCCCGCACGCCTCGATAATTCGACACGACATCGAAGGCGGGACTTCTTTCTTTTATACTCGAGATGAGATAATCAAACTTCTGTTCGGACGACGAACTGCCATTTTTGTGCACCTCACGGTCGGAAACTTGTCCCCACGCCGCCCATTTCGTTGCATTCCGACCATCCAATAGACTCACTGTGGGAGTTTTGAATCCGAAGACCTTCGGCGGGCCATCGGCCTTCTTTAGCGAACCAACATCGATAGCTAGATCCTTTAAATGTAGCGGTAGATCTTGCGCTTTCAACGCATGGGCTTCCGGAATTGCGCGAAAAAGACGTTCGCAAGTTGCGACCAAAGTCCGATCCAAGTCCTCTGAGACCACGACAACGTCTTTTTCTGAAGCTCTCAAGAACCCACCCCTAAATTTTCACGGTGATCGGTTCAGGCGTTGGTGAATTTTGCAAAGATCCGATTTTTCAATTTTTTTCTGAGTTTCCGTATTTTCGTGGGTGGAGCACTCAAATAATTTTTCCAAGGTAGAAGGACTCATCGCATCGGAGAACTGACCCCCCTATAACCACCGCTGGATCGCCCAGAACACGCTCCTAAATTTTCACGACGATCGGTTCAGCCGTTTTTGAGTCTATAGGTGACACCAGACAAACAGACATACGTTTTTATATATATAGATAGATAGATATAGATATACCTATTGGGGTCCCGGGTCCCTCACTATAAGTTAACACAGGGTTTGATGAGTCAGTACAACAACGACACGAAATTCGCTTCTCAGGCGAGAACGATCGCATCATTAGCGATCGTACCGATCGATAAAATCGAAGGAGCATTCGACGAATTGTCGGACTACTTGCCCGAATGTCTCCAGCCCACGCTAGAATGGTTCGAAGATGATTATTTAGGACGTCGAGACCGCAGAGGTCGTCGCCGAACACCGAGATTTCCGGTCGCGATGTGGAATTTGTATCAGCGAATAATGGATGAATGCCCGCGAACGAATAACAACTTGGAGGCGGCACATAGGCGATTGCAAAGCGAGCTGAATCGATTCGAGATCGATGATAATAGAATATTTGAGCGGAATTTCGTATAATCAGCAGATGAAGAAGTAAAATAGAGAGCGGAGACTTCACAATTAAGGATCCTTTTTTTGTCGATCGGCACGGCCTAACCAATTGTATCGCACCCAGCCGCCCTGACTTGGGTTAATAGTCGAGCAACATCCGGAACTACGTATGCATGATCCACAGTGAGGCCGAACAGCATCCGGAACTACGTATGCATTGATCTCGCGTCATTTTGGGTCTGCGTCATATTCCCCCGCGTCATTTTGGGTTCGCGTCATTTTACCCGCCTCATTCTCGCCCGCGTCATTTCCGGCTCGCGTCGTTTTCGTCGCGTCATTCCGTCCGCGTCATTCTATCGTACACCTTTTTCAACGTCTCTCGAGCGGCTGTCAGTGAAACAGCTGATGCGGAGCAGCTGACGTTCAGATCTGGAGTGGCCAGCGCTGCGCCGATTGACGTACCTAGGTGGTGGCGCACTTCTCGGGGATTTATTCTGGTTGGAACAGGACTGCTCGTCCTGGACGGGTATGATGGATAAATAATTACACAATGACTGGGATGCTGGAAAGTCACCACGGTTAGACTCGAACTCTGCTGTGCTTGTTGTGTGCTGATCGTTTTGTGTAGTGTGTGTGTCGTGAACGTGTG